CACACACACACACACACACACACACACCACGTGCGCACATACGTACACACATATCACATATAAATGAATACCTCTTGTACGGAGTCACGGCCGCCGCCGTATAGCTACCTACATTTATACCTTCTAAACGATAAGGAAAGTGTTTTTCCTGTACATTGTATTCCTATTATTTTCATGTCCTGCCCGTGCGAAACACCGGTGGTTTCTGGCTCGTCGGTGTTCGCAGGCCAATATTCTTACTCTCTCCGAGTGCAGGGCTATTATTTAACTATTATCCGTCCTTTTCTCGCCGATTTCCCACGCTCCATCTCGCGGCCGCGGTCTCTTCGCGACCCGTCCACAGAACATAATATTATAATCAAGCGGACGCCCCTTTTAACGAATCTTACAAAATAATGCTAACCGTTCAGAAACCGCCGCGGCGCCATGCCGTACTTACACAATATATAGGATTTTCACGTGTGACCGCTGTGTGTAGATATTCGGGAAACCGTGTTAAGTGCAACGGATTGCGGGTAAAGAAACGCAAGTAGGAGAGTCTCCGAACCACGGGTGTTCGAGTCCTGCTTGCCAGACAGGTGCAATGTGACCCGAAAAACGTGTGACTTTTCTCTTCGTGATCCGATGTGCAGCCGTTTGGTTTGCAATCGTCTAGAGCGGTGAAGAACAAAGTCGATTTCAGCGAGATTTTCAATACATATCGGAAAGACTTAAGAAGAAAAAAATAATTAAGAATTACGTGCATTCTTATAGCTAATGTAGTTCGGCTACCTCAGATCAGAATTATTTTGACTAACCTTAAAACAGTAAATATTCGTTTCTTCGTACAGACAGAACAATTAAAACAAAAAATAAAAATATCATAAACATGAAACTAAAACCACGTAATACACCAAATACGTTTCGTTATTTTTAAACGAGAGTAGATGTCATTTTCGATCGCCGTGGCCGGTGATTAATATAGTAATCATTCCTTGACGGGTTAACATTTACGTTCATGCCGATCATTATGGAGACACTATATTATGAAATGTCATAATTTGATTTCTATTGTAAATCAGTGTGTATACAACGTATGTGGTCTGTGACATGTCAAAACACTCCTTGAAATTACCTATTCAAATGTCTAAGTGATTCTTAATACGAGTTTAAAATCGGAATATTAGGAATATTAGAAATTATCACGACGGTTACTACGGCACTAAATATATACTTATTTCACACATAAAACGGGGGGGGGGGGGGAAAGGTATAGAATAACAGCGCAACTGACGGCGAATCATTAATCTACGTATTTCCGAGAGTTTATGTTGACCATAGCCGAGTCATAAACTGCATTATAAAAGAGTACATAACATTTACAAAAGTACGAGTACACAAACCGGAAGTGATCTTAAAAACGTTATAACATATTATCGTGTAATATATTATACGGTAATACGTCTCAGAGCGCGGTGTGTAACGTCGTTAATCGATTTGGCAACGGTAGGTCGTGACTCGCAGCGCACGTGTGGGTCGTTTTTTTGCTTTTTTTTTTTTTGCTTCCGTGTTCATCGTCGATGGTTACGGTAACATGATTTTAAAATTATTATGGTTCGGTTTTATTTATTGCCTGTTACCGCGTTTGTGTTTGCAGCGTGCGGAGTGCGACCTTTGGTGAGGAAAAACGGTCGGATTGTCGGCGGAACGGGATCGACGTTCGGCGAATGGCCGTGGCAGGTGTTGGTGAGGGAAGCCACGTGGTTGGGGCTGTTCACCAAGAACAAGTGCGGAGGCGTGTTGATCACTCAACGGCACGTCATCACGGCAGCTCACTGTCAACCCGGGTAAATACGATCATTATAATGCTGTTAGACGCCAAGCGAACGAAATATGAAGCCCAATGATACGTTTTTAAACGACTAAACAGTTCATTAGACCGTATTATATTATATATAGTATTGTTCTATTATCAGACTACATTAGGGAAATCGTAATCTTTAGTTACGTTCGATCAATTAAAATGTTCTTATGCGGTTCACCGATTTTAGACTTTTTTTTTTTCATTATTCACACTAAATGCTTCGTACACGCCACAAAAATTTTCACTTTTAATTTTTTTTTTTTTTGTCTATGCTCATATCGGTCCCAAAACGAAACAAACGTATAAAGTCGAGCAAAATAAAAATATTATCATTTACGAATGCTATACGGGCCGATGAAGATAAATTTTATTTTTAAATACCTTAGAATGGCGATTACTTTTCAAAAATTAACGATCGTATATCTGTTATTTACACTGTTAGTTCATTTTCTTTGCAGTAATCTAGCTCGAAACTCCGAACTCGAATTTTTATAGCGGTACTAAATTTGATCAATGTGCGAACGGTTCAGTCGATAGCAGGTCAGCTTGTTTTCAAATACATTTGACTTTGCTCGATTTGAAAAATAAGATCTGTTATCGTATTCACAGTAGAAAAAAAAATTTCAAAACCGTTCAACGGCAACAACGGGCCACAAATAAAATACGTTTCAATTTCTGTAGAACGCGTTATACGAATAAAGCCTGATGGATATTTTTTTTCCTAACAACATTTTGCATTAATAGTAGTCCAAAATACCCATTTGTAGCCGATGACTTCCTATTAACGGTCGACTGCATTATATTTATCGCGTTCGACGTATGAGATTGTATACTTTCGTTTGCCACGAGAGAATTTATACACGTATATAAATACGAGTATATGTATACATTCCTACGCATCTGAAAGTCGACGATGACTGGATATCGCGTTCAATTCATTCGGACACTAGTGTAATACGAATACAATTGATTATTATTATAATTGTTTAAAGTGTAACGTGCAATTTACGACTAACATACTTTTACGAACGTAATTATTTTTCCCGTCGCATATTGCGATACGCTGGTTCGCTTTGAAAGCTAACGCCTAACTAGGTCAGTGCCGAGAGGCTCTTCGCGGAAAGAGGTCACGCATGACGCGACGCGAGCGATTGTCTTATAGCAATACATAGGAGGTATATACTGAACGCAATCATCTTAAAGGAATAATCCCTCCTGGGAGTGTAAACATTGCAGTAGCTGTTATCTGTAATCTATCGCGTTCGCAAAGTACCTTTTATCGGCCGTCTATGCAAAGCGCGCGCGTTTACCGGTGATCGTTTGACGACAACCCGTTTTTCGAATGAGACGCGATCACAAATGTTTTTATACACAACGCCTGGTGGGAGGAGAATGATCTCTAGCAAAAAAATATTACCAACGATCGCGTGTCGCGTACAAATCGTACAAAAAAATGTATATAAACATGTCCAGAGCAGTTATTTCATACTCGTCTATATGTCAGTGTACACATCGCGTGTTGTTGGTGCGGATATGCAATGTCGCGTGTGCTGCAGTGCGCGACTTTACGACGTCCCGAACACTCGTAATGAGTCGATTTTAACGTCCTGGTTGTCTTATTCAAAATGAAAACTTGTTTCGGTTGTCCGTTCCGCTGGATGAGATTGACGAAATGATTCGATCCAAACGTCATATACACCTAAACGCGAATCAAAAGTAACGAAAAACGACGTGACAAAATAATACGTTGTCGCATCATATGCGTCATACACGGCTTGTGATTCGAGACGAATTGCAACCGCTTCGATTAAGAAAACAACAATTCTTTCGATGAAACTCGCCATCCCTCGTCCGATCGTTAAGGGTAAATATTGTAGAAATTCCATTTCCGTTTGTTATTTTCCGTAATATTTTATCCGTATATTTTTTCCGTATTATTTTCCGTAATCCGTTATTTTCCAGCAATACGTGTTACATTAATTCAATAAGGTTATAAATTTACAATTGAAGAATAAGGCCTCTTACAGAGCCACCAGAGCAGCGTTACCAAAATATATTAATATTTAAATTAAGGTTTACACATTTGGTGGCCAAACAATATTGGCCGCGCCACTCTTATTTTATTGAGCAATCACACATGTGGAACGCGCAATCAGAATAGTCGCGACACCTTTTAAATTATGTTTTAATTTAAAAACGCACATTCTATTCATTCGATCAACTGCCAGTGGCGCTTTGTACGTAGAACAGTTAGACAGTATCCAAAACTTCATTTTTTTTCGTCTACGTATTGTTTTATTGTACAAATATGCCAGTTCTTCAACTTTTATTTTGATACTGAACTGAATTTATATTTTATAATTTAATGACGTAATATTAACTCCCGGAAGCGCGTCTGGAAGCATGAATAGTGGTGATACTTTTCTAGTGGTGTCACCATGATGGCGCTACTCTGGTGGCTACGTGTAAAAGAGGCCTATCATTTTATTTTTTCAGTTTGCACTGTATAGTAAGAACTGTAATTTTTTTAAATCTTAAGTTAGAAGAAAAAAACAAGTATTACAATAAATCTATTGAACAAAGAATAATGCCTGTTTTACAATAGTAGTTTAAACTCTTATCGAAGTTTAAACCTGGTTTAAATTTAAAATACTGTTTTAAAATTAATTATCAATGGTTTAAACCGAAGTTAAACTACTGATTGTTAAACCACTGATAATGGCGAGTTGAACTTGGTTTAGAAATTGATCTGCAATTTCATTGGTTGTGATTATTAATGTCGATAACAAACAATAGTATTATGATAAACAAGATACACTGTGTTTACTCTTCAATGTTTATTTGAAAATTTAATTTTTTTGTGTTTTTATGTTATGAACATAATTAAACAATTTAATTTACAACGTCATATTCATTGTAATAATAATGAAAACTATTACTGTTAACAACTTGTTCTTCGAAAAATTATTAGTATCATTAATTATTCAGTGATAATAAATCATAAGTTATCACATCAAAACACCAGATTACCTAGCTTATCCATTAATTTTACAGAGATACCAATCGTATTACAAAAATAAATGCTTTAACCACAGCTTAACTGAACTGAACCAAATCGACGATTGTAATACTAGCAATAAGTTAGCCTAGGAGTTAGTTGATGACCGTAGTTCAGCTAAACTCGAGTTTACCACTGCTATTGTAATACAGGCCCTTATGAATGAACGGTTTACAGCGATGGTATTTCATGTTTGTAACAAATCAAATTACGTTTTACTAATAATAAATCAACTAGAAGTATCAACGTAGAGATTATCTACCATATCGAAAACCGGAAAAAACTAATGGGGCCCCATATAGATCATTTTATTTTATGGACGCATACACCGTACCCATCGTTTTCGCATTTAGTGTACGATATAAATTAAAAATGCATCGGGAACGGATTTGGAAAGTTATTATGGTTAATTAAACTTAAATAATTTTCGTATCTGGTTTTAATTTGACTTACGGCACAATCGATAGTTTATTAGGTACACTTTTTATTTCCGTCTGACCAAGCATTTTTAAGTTAAAATTTTATTAGAATCAAACGGTGATAATTTAAAAAAATCATTTTAAAAATCATGATTTAAATCATATTTTATTTTCAACAAGCATTTATCAAAAATGTTGAAATCCAAAAGGCCATAGAACTATTGCTCAAACGATATTATAGTGGTTCAATAACTCTTTATCACAAACAATATTTTAAGTCGTTATCTTCGTTTATTATTCACCGTTCAACAATTGATAACGAATAACAAATAATGATCTAAGTACCGAAACTATTAATTGAAAGTCGAATATTTTTTTACCAATTCCGTGACTAAAATCTATTTAAAATAAATTCCAATGAAATTGTATGTGCTCTATATTGATTAGAAAGCCAGATAGTTGAACAAACTATACTTATTTTCATGTGCCACGACGCATTTCTAATGGATGCCTTCAAATCCACACCACATCTTCCTTAATAACATGTTCGTGCAATCTCCTCAGGCACGGATCCAGAGCAAAGGTCTGGGAGGGGCCAACTACAAATTACAATAAATTATCAACATACTAGTATTCAACATAATATATTCGTATACTATATCAGTAGTGGATCCAAAGTGGAGTTAAGTGGTAAATACCCCCCACTTTGAGTTTAGTATATTAAATATTATAAAATTGTTCAGAAAATGACCAATGTCTGGGTAAAATGTGTTTTTAGTTTTTAGTGTTTCAGATGAATTGTCAGGTGTAACTATTGTTGTATACTACAATTAGCTAATATAATAATTATATTATTAATATTAATAATAAATAATTTAATAATGCAATTTATAATTAGCCACCGATAAAATATAAATAATATTAGATTAATATAGATTATAAATAGATATAAATAAATATATTAGAAAAACCATTTTAATGCATAGATATAATTTAGGAATGCAGAATTAAATTTACTTACCACATTACTTTTTTGAATAGTTTCTGTGTCAGATTCATTAACTACTGATTTTTGTTTGGGTTCCATAATAGTATATTTTCTTTGAACTACTAATTTAGGTTAGGTTCACATGGAGAGCGTTAAACGGACGTTTACCCAATGCGCGTTTTTAGCCTGTGCTCACATGAATTACAGATTTTACGCCTTAAGCGCGCGTATAAATTGTAGTAATAACTATAACTAATAACTATAGTCAGTTGTATTTTAAATTCCGGCGAATATGGACGTAGCTTCTGCTGTATGCTTATGGACCTTATATAGAAGAACATGATATACCTAATGTATATTATATTGTTTTTAATATAAATTGTTTAAAAATGATTCAATATTAAATATACATATGATTATAATTTAAGTAATTAAAATAAAATAAAGTACACCAAGAACTTTCTTTTTTTTTCTCTATATAACCTTCTTCAGAAAAAATGAGGGCTATTTCTTCCCAGGCATTTCTTTTTATTATTTTATTTTAATCACGACTGGTCATGCCCCAAATCGAGAGCCTTTTTTCGATTTCATCGATGAAAAATTCATTACTGAATTCTTCCATTGTTGATGAAAAAAGAACACGTCAATACAAACCTGTACAATGTTTAAACGTGCGTCAACTTGCGCTGACGCGCGGTGACAGGTTTTTTGCGTTATCGCAGCATTGAACGCGCGTCGCCATCCATCGCGCGTTACCATGTGTATAGTTAATAGCAATTAATAGTAATTGTTAACGCGCGTTTAACGATCTCCATATGAACCTAGCCTTACTCTTATTATACTTATCGGTATTATCATTATTCTATAAAAAAATATAATTTTAAAATTTAAAATGTTTAAGAAAAATTTGTAGGTATATAAAGTTTATATAAATCTATTATTTCACATGTAAATTAAATTATCATTAATGATGATATCACAGGAATTCCTCGATCATCAACATCCATCTCTTCTTCATTATTTTTTGACTGTCTATAAAAACTTCTATAAATGATTGATTAGGCAATAAAGAAAATCAAAATACAATACTAGTACCATTGATTAAATATACGTCATATATGTATATTTAATCAATGTTAATCAATCAAATAATCAATAAAACAAACTTACCTTTCTAAAGTATGAGAGTAAAGTTTTAAATTTTTAAATTTTTGATCCATAATGAAATAAGTATTATAATATAAATAATAATAAAACGGTAAGTGACCATCAAATTGCATATTTATTTCAGTGTAACAAAGGAATCACGGAAAATTACAATAAATGAAAAAACATAACCAGTAACCAAAGTCAATATTATAATACAAAATATAATATTATAATTATTGTTATTGCTACTGCTATGTCTAATAATAATTACTATTATACATACTTATTTCTTATCTATTACATATATAGATATAACATAATGATAGCAACCAAAAACAAATCTAATAATAAGCCAAAAGGATTTTCCCATTCTCACTGGCCCACAAAACGCCGTTGTTACACTTGGTTTTCAGAATTGTAAATATTATGACGGGTGTGGTTAATACTTATTATTTATAAATTATTAATTATTATTGGAAATTGCAATGATCTCAAGTAGAGCATTTGCGCATTCTGCGTTTTCAACATACGTAAATACTACTAACCATCGTTCTCAAAATGTCTGGAAGGGGCCACAGTCCCTCGGCCCCCCACTGGATCCGTCCCTGATTCTCTTCTACCTTGATTTCGAACTGGTTGTCGTACTCTCTCGGCCGTTTCGATTTCCTCGATATTCTCAACGCGCTCACTATCTCCTCCCGTCACTCCCTCTTCTCACACATGTCCGCATACATTCTCCGTCGACGGTTAAGTGAACTAAAATTCTTTCTTGTTCCATCACTCCATCCTCCCCCAAAAAAAATCTAAATCTAAACAACCTCCGAGCTACGTTTCGTGGGATTCATATCGTTTCGTGTATACAACTTTTGATTGGCTCAACAGATTCCTGGCGAACCTGGTGGCCGTGTTCGGCGAGTATGACATCAGCGGTGAGGTGGAATCCAAGCGAAGCATCAGCAAGAACGTGAAACGCGTGATCGTGCACCGGCAATACGACGCGGCCACGTTCGAGAATGACATAGCCCTGCTGGAACTCGAGTCGCCCGTCAGTTACGACTTACACATCGTGCCCATATGTATGCCGGATGACGATGACGAGTTCACGGGACGTATGGCTGTTGTGACGGGATGGGGACGGTTGAAGTACGGTAAGTGCTGCAATGATCAACCTGTGTGAGTTGTATAATATGTACCTAATCCGAAAGTTTCGAATCGAAATAACGTTACCGATTTTTTCCACTAACAACCAAATGTAATACGATTTGAAATAGTTTCTCAAGTTTCAAAACAACACTGGCATAAGATATTTTCTCATCAGTTGTGTATTTTTTTTTTTTTTTTTATATATCTAAAAGAAAACTGACAGTTTAAGAATCGAACAATTTAATTGTTTTTGCGATCGTTATATTGCATTGATAACATACTTCATTTCTTTACATTTTTAAGGCGTTACGTGAGAAATCAGTTAGTCGGTCGGTTTGACTTGTAATCAAAATTTCGCTTTCGCAGGTGACGCTATTAATATTGTTGTACATGTCATCATCGGAGATTCTTTCTCATGGACGCGAAGATTATAATAAATGATTGTTTGCGTTTCTAGATGTGTTACGGGGAAGTTTTTGTTTCATTTACTTTTACTGTGTTGTGTGAACTGAGTCAGATTATACTGTGAGATTTCACTGTACATTTCCGACACGAAATAAATATTCGAACAATTTAAATGAAAAAAAAAAAAAAACAATATTGTCGATATGGTTTAGAATTACATTATTTCTGTGCGTAGCAAAAGAACTGCAGATGTCGTCTCCGAAAACATCGTCGGACGATTTCTATTAATCATGATTTAACTGACCGTGTGTGCATTTTTTCCCAACAGGAGGAGGAGTTCCCAGTATTTTGCAAGAAGTGCAAGTTCCTATTATCGAAAATCAAGTGTGTCAGGACATGTTTGAGACGGCTGGACACTCAAAAACCATCCTAAATAGTTTCTTGTGCGCCGGTTACGCCAACGGACAGAGAGACTCTTGCGAGGTATGTAATATCTATCAGCAGCTTGTGGTTAAAATGTTCGGATAAAAACGATTGAATGGTTATATTTCATTTCAAATTTCAACATTTTCAGTGGAAAAATCCACGATTAAACTTATCCCAGGAATAGGTCTTGAATCGTGACTCTCGTGTACGCTGTTAAATTGCCTACAACGTGCCCCTCAAAGCGATCGGTGGAATTATAAACAAAAACGTAAACAAGCCACAAAAAATAGTATTACGATTTTTCGAGAACATTATTCGTCCCAAATAATTATTATTTTCACCGTACACTGAATATAAACTTCGGCATAAAATAGGTATGGATCTGTATACCGTTAAAAAGATGTTCTTTAGAACTACCAGTTCGTTGGATCATAGTTACCGTACACCAGCCGAAAAGTATTCGTCATTTTACTAGGCCGCTTTTGTCCTCGAACATTTTTCCCATCACGACTGTACATTTGATGGTTCGCGTCCTCGCCTCCCCCCTCGCCGGTCACTTTTGCAAAAGGTGTTGCTGCTCGTGGCGACTTATCCCCCCGGACGGACAACAAGCGCGCGCCTCTATCGGGTTGTTGTTTTTTTTTATTAATCGTTGGTCGTTTCGTGCAGGGCGACAGCGGTGGACCGCTGATGATCGAGAAGGACAACGGCCGCTGGACGCTGATCGGCACCGTGTCGCACGGCATCAAATGCGCCGCGCCCTATCTGCCGGGCGTGTACATGAGGACTACGTACTACAAACCGTGGCTTCAGACCATCACGGGCGTGCAGTAGACGCGCACCGACGACAATACGCGATCGTAAGAGCGCGCAATGCCGTAAGCGAACATTCAAGGAAAAAGGTTCGGGAAACGTAAAACGCTGTGTACGACGTGACGAAAATTTAACGTAAAATATTGCGCGTTATTATTAAAATTGCTTTTATTTTAATTTTTTATCGTCACTCGAAAGTAAATTGTTTTAAACTCATAGCTCGAGCGTTTCTACGGACCCGGATTCCCACCGCCCTTTTTCTAGGTCGACTTTCCCGGCCTATGGCCTTCGACGAACGCTTGTCCGGATCGTCACGTCCAACACGATATCTTGTGTGCCGTCCCGTTTTCGGTAATCATTGTATTTATATTTCCGTTCGCGTTTCGTCCTATCGTTCTTCATCTCTTTCCTTGCAATCGTGTGATACCTGGTGCATCGGGAACAAACGCCGTCATCTGTGTACCGTTATTGCACATGGACCAGTATAGTAATGAGAACGAAATTTCGCCATAATTCAATATTGTAAATTATTATTTAATTATTTATTTATTTATTGCAACATACATATATTCGTATGTATTAAGTTTAATTGTATATTATTTATTATTTATTTATATATTTTCGGACGTTTATATATATATTAAGTATTGTTAAGTGTTACGATACTATTGTTTTTGTATTTTTTTTTCCATTTTACTATGCTAAATTTATACGATTTTTGTACATTGCCCTTTCTGAATATTCTTATTATTTTTATCATTGTACTTTATTATTATTATTTTTATGTGTGTGCGAATAGGTTTACGATTTTTGTTACTATTTCATCAACTATATTTATTGTTTAATCGCGAACACTAAAGACATTATTTATTATACGTATATGTACACTTAGGAATTACAATTAATAATTTGTATTTCATGTTGTTTACGAATATTTTTTACATTTTTTAAATTTTTTTTCTTGTATTCGAATGTTTTTTTAATTAAATATTTATAAAAAACATAATCTGTTGTCTATATATATATATATATATATACCAATCCGATGCCTATTAGATTTATTGAATCATCAATCAACTAAATCAGATGGTGCACTAGATAATGAAAATTTTTTATCATAATCACGGTGTAGAGAAGGTGTGATTTTTTCTACACCACAGACGATATGAATTCATATAGAATATGTCTACACCGTGATTATAGTAATAATGTGTCATCACCATTGAGCCACCAAATTGTTATTATTACGTATACGTTTTTCGTTTATTGAATATTTATTTTTATTTTCATTTTTTTATGAAACTTTTTCCGTTCAATTGTTGTGATGAAACCTTCTTTTTTTGGTGATAAGTGTTTTTACCTGTATTCCATTTTGAGATTCTGTTTTCGTTGTAATTTCTATGATTAGGTTGCCAATGCATTTTGATCGAGAATGCAGTAGTTATGTTCTCGCTTTGCGTGGATTACAACACAATCAATTTGTGAATTTTAGGCGCATGATCTATCGTTTCCGCGTTAATAGCTTCGAAACTATCGATTGTACACGATGCTTATTAATAAACACAAAACATGCTGTAATATAATGTAACAACTGTACAAACTACCAAAATGATATAGACACAGCGCCACACGTATTCGCATTATAATAAACGCCGCCGTTCCCAATAATTACGACGTATCTCCACGCATCGTTTTACTGTTGATATGACTTATTAAGTCGTGTAATACATAAATCATAACTATAGCACTGATCTATCGGTGCGCACACACCCACAACAATTCGAAATACTGTTTATGCCCAAGTTAATTGTCTCGTGTTTCGACCACGGTTATCCGTCACTCCCATAGACCTATATCATAAACTAATGGACAGCGCTTAGAGTGAGAAGTAAGGGGACGAGATTAATAGAAAAAGAAAAAAGACTGGCGAAGAAAATACAGTGTGTTCTACGGCTAAATAAAAAAATATGTTACGATCAATTTGGCCAAACGTTAATTTTTGAGATTATTCTATTTATTTTGTTACTGCCATAGATATATAATATAATATAATGTTACACTATATATCTATGGTTATTGCATAATGTCATACTATAATAAGTATCACTTTGATTTTGATATTCGTTCAAGTGACTCGTCGTTATATTTGAATTTTTTTTCGTTCGCCGACTTGAGTGTTTAAAACTTGAACTTAAGCTACTAGTGTTTAACCACTTAAGTCATTTTTGTGTAAATTTGGTTTCTAGTTGTTAAACATCTTGCGCGATGGTTACATATTTTTGTGTTAAAGGCTGTAACTCAAAAGGTGGTCAAAATATTAAGTTTATTAATTGTAATAAATGTGATCAAGTCTTTTTGACCATATACTAATGTCTCATTTTTAATAATACCTATACGTACTAATACATTCATTATTTATAACCTACACAAATTATATATTGATGTTCTTTATTATACTTTAATAATAAAATTGGTTCACTAAATAATGTAATTTAATTTTAATAAGTTATTTATACAATATTTTCGGGGATTTTTATACCTGATGTGACTCATGGCGGATTTTATTCAATAAATTGTTAGTTAAATGTTTAAACATGACTTCATATAATTTTTTTAGTGTTCCTAAAGGAGTTATTGGAAATGAATGGATTACATTTTTTTAAGAAATGCAATCCTTTATTCAAATATACGGTTAGTTCTAAAGTAAGTGAGTTTCATTTTGTTCCTGTTTATTATAAAGTTTCATCTACTAGTATTTTAAAAACTAAACGTTTGAATGAAAATGCAGTACCCAGTATTTCCAAACAAAGTAAGTTTTAAATAATAGTTCTAAGTATACTTATACAATTCTTGTGTAATGTGTATTAAAATTAAATACATTTTGTAAGGTACGCGTAGATCATTATTACCTAGTTTAGATACGGTTTCTAATGGTTATGCCGAGGAAGAAATTGTAACATTAACATTATCAGACTACTTTGCTGAATCGTCGGAGCCTTCTGTGTCAGGTATAATAGAAAAATAGAAAATAATATCTTATAACACAATTTAATTACTATGATTTGATAATATTTTCAGAACAAATCATGGCACAAAATGTAATTCCTACTAAACTTGCAGGCCCTTTTGAGTCACTTTTAAATTAATTTAATTAAAGATTAGATGTAACTAATCTTGGTGCACAGAATACAGCAACTTCATAAAAACAATCAAGCTCAGATAAGTAAGTTATACCTACTAAAACTATGAAATTTAGTAATTACTATGTATATGATTCTAATTTTTGTTTATTTCATTATTATAGAAAAAATAAAAAAATAAAATGTTTTATGGGTGATTTTAAAGACGCTAGTGATATTGATAGCCCTAATAGCAGACTAAAATATTGAGTTTTTTCACAATCAACTGTGGTAAAACAAAGGAAATTAATCAAGTACTTGCATAAACAAACCGTGAACTTGAAAAAAAGAATAAATACTTTAGACGATATAATAAACCGTCTTAAAGATGAAAAAAAACTTATATCAGATAATTACTTCACTGTGAAATTATGAAACTCATAAAAAACCTTAATTAAACGATAATAAAGCATATAATTAAAAAAAAAAAAATTCTAACCAAAATAATATAGGCCTGAAAGGGTTAATAAATAATACAACTATTTTATTATTCAATTATTACAACTTTTTCACACTTTTACTTTTACAACCGCACTTTGACTGATACTTTAACGGAAGATTCATGGCTACTAGGTATATACGTTCCCAGAAGCCGAGGTACTCTTTTAGGAACATAAGGTTTTTGTGCCATCATTTTTTTTTTCGCATCTGACACTTTGGTCAGTATTTCGGTCAATTCTCTCGCGTGTTGCAACGACAACGATTTTATTATAACAACTTTATTGGCAATTCTCGTACGAGTTCTGGATCTGGCCACGGCTTTAATTGAATCGTTTTCAGTTGAGGTATACAATTCGTGTCTCTCTTCCTTATCGGGTCATAACCTTTTATCCACTTGTTCCAACCTTCTTCCCTTCTCTTTTTTCATTCATCTGTTTTACTGTTTTTTAGCTTTTGGCTGTAGGAGATTAAAGTGTTTATTGTTACTTCTGGATACCACTTTAAAAGATTCGCTTTCAGTTGACACATACAATTCGTGTCCTTCTTCCCTATCGTGTCATAATCTTTTATTCACTTGTTCCAACCTTCTTCTATAAATTATCTAACAACTTTAAAAGACCGAAATTATTCTCCTATATTAACATCTAGAAAAATAGGGTTTAATGGTCTTATTATCTGTCTAGAAAGTATAAGTAGATTTTTTGACAATGTAATTAATACTGGACAGCTTAGTTTTATACTTTCTTACAAGATTTCACAAGATCATATGGAGATACTGTTCTCAGCTATCAGATCAAGTGAGTGCTTCATCAATAATCCTACCGCTTCCCAGTTTGAAGCTACCTTAAAAAAACTATTGGTTCATAGTGAGTTGTCAATTTCAAAAAATGCTAATTGTGCACCTCAAGATACTACCAATATTCTTCATGCTGTAAGTAGTAAAGAAATTCTAGGTCAAAATTTTTTAAATATTCTTTGTATGGAAGAAAAAGAAAGTTTTACAGATGAGCCTGAACAAAACAACAAACCTGAAGAAATTAATGATTATAAAGAACATATTATTGAACATATAGCTGGATTTGTTGTAAAACAGTTACATGAAATTATTGACTGTTCGATTTGTTTTTCAGTTCTTGAGGATCAGTTTAGAAAACACACATTTATTGATATTAAAAATAGAGGAGGACTTAAGAAACCATCATTTGATGTTATAAAAATATGTAAAATAACTGAAAAATATTTATCTCAAGAATTTATAAAGTACCAAGCTATTAGGGAATCCAATTAATAATTTAACTATAAAAACTATGTCTCAAATAAATATTAACAGTTTATTTACCATTTTAAATGCACATATTTTATCTCTATCCCCTATAAATAATTACCTTTTACAAATTATTAAACTAATTATTAAAAAATATATTGTAATTAGATTGCATCATTATAATAAAAAACAAAGTCAACCGAAATTTCGAATATGTTCACATTTAACTAAACAAATTTTGTTTCAACATCAATAAAAAACCATGTATTTGTACTTTTTTGTATTTATTGTATTTTTTTATTCCAAAAATCTCAAAATGAAATATTTGCATAACATGTTTATTAGGTACTAATAATAAATAGGTACTAATAATTATCAGGTACTATAAGTACCTGGTGCTATAACTAATCAATATAGTTTCCAGTTCCTATTTACATAGGATATTCCACATCCTATTTTTAGAACGCTGTAATAATTTTCAATGCTTCAAGGATAATTCGAGAGATTAGTTTAGTATAATTTTTCAGGAATTGGATAATAATCAATTGGTCAATGGATACTATAGTACTCAATACTTAGTAATATAGAAGTTGTAGTACTTAGATTTATTTTTTTTAATTTCGAAAAATATTGATTATTGATAATGGTGATAATGCAAATGGAAAAAAAAAATGTCAAGTTATTCTTCCAAGATTTCCTCTATTATGTTTTCCCCAATGGGGATATTCATGGTTCCTCATGAATCTATGGCCATGTGGTGTGGAAAGCGCTATCCATTAGTTTATAGGTCTATGGTCACTCCAGTTAGCTATTCCAATCACTCCCGTCTAACCACGATTTCGACTAAGATAGTGATGAACTGACTAACTGAGAGGCATTATCGCCGGTCAGAGTGTTTCGGATCTCGTCTTTCGGTCGTCGAGACACAAAGTTTTTTCTCGTTCCGCTGCTCTTCGAAATGCCTTCATAGTCATCGCTAAAAGCAAAATACTTTTTTAACGGCCAACACCCGATCGAGCACAGTTTATCTTTTTCACGACCTGATTGAGCACGTATCGTAACAATAGAACAATAGAAGACCTAAAAGCTATTTAAACGGATCGCGATCGAGCGCAGGAACACGTGCAACATTGCCGTTTTTATAGATATTTTATATTTTGAATCAAATTGTTATAATATATTTTATATATTTATTAATAACATTTAAAATGGTATTCCTAAAAAACTGTTTCCCACTTTTAATAAACGTTTAAGCGAATTATCAACATCTTTATTTTTAAAATACACCTCGTAAGCCATCATGGTTGCGTTTATTTTTTGTCTTGTAATTCAACACATATTTTATTATGACTGTTTCTGTCCATTGATTTTTCGATCTTTAAGACTTTGATTAGCAACGGCGTTAATGAATTAATATATTTTTTGAAAATAGAAAGATAACTAATGTGAAAATACACAGATAACTACTACATTTTTGTACCTAGGAAAAACAAATGCGTATTATTCAGGACAAGGTTATAAAAGTACGATAAACATTATTCTAAAGAATAGAATTGAAATCGTTTAATCATAAATTATATGCTTCAATATAAGCCTCGTAATTTTAATTACAGAATAGTATAAGATTATTTGTATAAATATAGTCAAACAACGTGCTATCGATAATTTTCGCTAAACAATATATTTTATGCAATAGATACATATAATTAGAGACGTCCGCAGTGAGAAGAAAATGGAAGATGAATGAGATGAGAATTACCCTCTTAGCTTCTACTGGAATTATTTGCCGAATACACTTACATAAAATTAAACGGCCTGAGTTAGAAATATTTTAAAAATTATTATAAATCTAGAACATTAATGATCGAAAATCGTATTATTTAATAAATGTAGCCTTAAAAATTACTTTAATTAAATTTAGTTTACATTAATTTAGCCTAGAAAAAAATGAACTGTTTATATTTAGTATTTTATTTCTATTATATTTTTACAAAATATTTTAAGTTTTTAAATTTAAATAATAAATAATTTAACGATCTAGTGATAATTTAAGATACCTTGGCTCTAAATTTCCGTTAAAATGAAAAAATAATTATCAATTTAAAAGTAAACTTAAATATAGTGATCAATGTAAACAAATGATCTTGATTTTAATAAGTCCGGCATCCGTTTCATATTCAATTACAACTTTAGTGCTCACTGTCTTCATAGAAAAATGAAACCCTTAGATATGTCTTGTCCTATTATGCGCGTAATATGATGAATTTGAATTTGGGAAGTGAACTATTTTTTATTACAAAAATATTATGACAAATTTTTATTTTTTTAATGTTAATTAAATTAAATAATGGCAATCGTATAAGTTGAGCATGACCATCTATTGTAACAGTTTTATGTTAAAATATTTCAAATCACTTCAACGCAAATATTCAGTGCAGCATATGAGTAAAAAATGGTACATCCAATTAATTTCAACGTATGGTACTATCGATCACTATAGCCAGCGCATAGTATAACTTGTATATAGAACTCGTGTAAGTCGTCGTACTCTACGGAAGAACTAAGATACAATTGGTTTGAGATCATTCTTTACAAAGAAAGTTTTAAAAAATGTTTGTCAAGCGAGTGTCATAGTGATTTCATAATTTGGAAAATTTAAAAACAACGTAGATGGTTAAGAAATACATATTGTAAAGTCACTTATTATTTTGTAAAAAATTTTTAACTGAAATACTTCTATTACAGTCTTTTTCTTTATTTTACATTACACTAGGCAATAGCTAAGCTCAGTGGCCCATATACCTATAATATTGTAGGATAAACTATATTTTTATTTAACAACCAAAATAATTAAAATGTATAAGTGTATGTATTTGTATTTTTGATACTTCCAGTTCTGAAAAGGTTCAGCCTATCCTAATTGATTATCAGTTAAAATCCTTTTTTCCATAATTTTAATATTAAAAGCTTGATATTCATTAAAAATTATCGACTCGTCAACTTGTCGGAAATTCATTTTTAACGTAATTTTGGCTTGTCAACATTATAAGTTATAATATTAAATAAATATATTAATATTTTCAGATGTATAATAAAAAAATGGATAGACTATCAATGGTCAAATCACCTATGAAGCGTGAGTGGAGCACTAGCCGGTATTAGAATGGATTTAACTTAAATAAAGATCAATTCATTTCTTTCGTTCTTCATCGTGCGACTTCATATACAAAATTTTGTTTCAGAAGTCACGTCTGACTTCGAATGCTTACGATGAATCCGTATCTAGTCCCGTATTGGGATAATACGAAAATATTGGAAATAGAAATCGTTAATATCGATGTGTAATATGTGTATACGCAGGTATAGTGCAGGTGCACAGTCGAAAATACGTCGAGACCGCATAAATATTCAAGTCTAACACAGTAATAGGGATCAAAGATTATCATGATTTTTATTTACGACGGACATATCAAACACCTGTTGAGATATACTTATACGGACGTCTCAGCTGCTCGATTCGACCAGTAATAAAAATGCTATATTATATAAATAATCCAACCGATACGTTGTAAACATAATATTATTATGTTCGAAGCCAATCGTAGGTGAAATCAAAAAATGCCACTCAAGTACCAACTAAATTTTCGCTTTTTTTTTCAAAAGCGGTAGATTCTCGTAAAATCTTGTCTCAAAATAGGAAAGGGTAGGGAAATTTGAAAGTTTCACATCCGACTGCAGGAAGTTACGTAACTGTGCGGACGACGGAGAGGATAATTGTACGGGGGCACACTCTATGCATGTACTAATATTCAAACGAACATTTACGATGTGTCGACGGCGCGCTACTGGACGAGGTAAATGAACGGCTTGCGTCTGATGAACCTGTTCCCGTACGAGTACAGCCGGTTGGCAGGCGCTGCAGGGATCGAGACTACTTCTCTGCCAACGGTCTGCGGTTTGTCGGTAACGTCTACCACCTGAAAGCCCGACAGCGAGTCGACATTACCATTGACTACGTGCTGCGGCGTGGACGCGCTGGGAGTCTTCTCGTGGAGCATGGCGTGGCTGGTGGTGGTTTCGGTCGGCGAGGACGACTTGAATATAGACAAGAACTGGTCGATCAGCGTCTGTATGTGCTCGGTCGTGGTTTTCGTGACGTTGCCGCCTCCGCCGCTGTCGTTATTTGGTAAAGGTGGTGAACCGGAAGGATAGTTGGAACCCGCGGTCGGCGGGATGGATGGATAAAAGGAGCCTGGGGTAGGTGGGCTGAAAGGATAAGGGGCGCCCGTGGGCGACGTAGCGGGTGGCCCGGTGTTGTGGATATACGTCACCGGCCAAGTCTGCGCCGGTCCGTCTTTTGTCGGGTAATACTTGTCGCTACACGGCCGCCACTGCTCGACCGATACTCCCACGTGACACCTACACATGGCACAAGAAGTGAAACGTGAAAAAAAAAAATAGGAACTGCAAAAATGAACAAGTCGCTAATTTTAACGAGTTCAAGTTATTTTCAAAAATGAAAATGAACTTCCTCTCAACTCCTACCAGTGAGTGGTTCAAAGATTTTTAACCGCCTTTCTAACTTACCAAGGATAACTGATTCCTTCGGAATAACCGCATTTATGATCGGGCCTGCAACAATAGCCCCAATCTCCTTGATCGATTGGACAAGACCATACCCCTACGTCGTTGTTTTGAGTGCAATATGAACCGGATTTGCACGGTTGTCCGTTGACAGTGAATCTCATCCACGTCCACTCCTTACCAGCAGGAACTTTACGAAAATTTATACATTCAAAATATATACCTCAAACATGAATTACCAATAGGAAAAGGTGAGCATACGTTGTATACTTACAGATACTGGTTGGAGGGAATTTAGCTGCAGGTGAGCCGAAACAATGGACTTCGCTGAAATCCCAAGCAAACAACAAAAATTGTTGGTCTAAAGTGAAATCCTGGTTAGGTTTCAAATTTGCCATCTCGATATCACTTAGCTCACAATAACCTTCACTGTAAAATAACAGGATCACTTGCAATATTTCATAACAAAAGATCTCGCACTTTGTTGTCGTTTTCAGTGCGAGACGATATTAAGACTAATAAAATCTGTACCTACAAGTAGCTGAGGGTGGAACACCGAAATTGATGATTCTCTCTAGCTTCATTGCATTCCATTTTGCACTTGTATTCTGATTCAACGTTCATGGACTTTTTGATAGCCGATGGCAAAAGTCTGGCAGTGTTGCCGAAGTTAATATAACACACTGCAAATTAAGATATGCAAAAAATATAAGCAAAAACTTACGTTATCTGAACGAAAATAACTCTTAGCAATCCCGATTTAAATCGATATGGAATTGTTTTTTACCAATTTTTTTTTTTAGTAATCAATTATCATTGGTAAAACTAATTTATTCGCTTAAAAAAATCACGTGTTTTTTAATTACTTTTTTTGCCCGTGGTCCCATAAACTGTAGGAATTTGATTGGGGTGTTTGCCATACGGGTAGAACCCACCTCCCGGTATAGGATCTCGATTCACGGGTTTGGCCGACACGGGAGTGTACTCTCCCGGTATGTGGAAGAATGTGGTAGGTGGCTGAGATGGCACAAAGGTACCCGTAGGTCTAGTGGAAGTATCGATAAAGACAGTTGGCTTAACAGGGATATAAATGGTTGGTGGTTGTAACGTTGGTGGCGGTGCCGTGGGGAAATATTGTGGTGGTAGTGGCGATGGTGATGGCGATGGTAACGGTGACGGTGTTGGTCCGCTGGGATAGAATTTTACTGGCGGCATTGACGGTGGTAGTCCGTTAGGGTAAGGCTGAACAGGCGGCGAAGGTGATGGCGATCCGCTAGGATAAAAATTCACCGGTGGTGATGGCGGCGGGCCATACTTCGGACCATAAAGTGATGGTCCCGGCGACAAAGGTGGTGGCACTCCGTACTGTGGTCGGTATGTGGTAAGCACAGTGGGCGTCAAGTCCTGTCCTGGAACTAAAGGCCACCCGGAAGAGGGCGGAATTTTGTCCTGACCTGGAACCAAAGGCCACCCGGAGGAGGGCGGAATTTTGTCCAGTTCACATCCGCGACCGAAGCTGCCACGGTTGTAGACGTCACAGCTAGAGTCATCAACAAAATGCTTGGTCGGATCCATATCCGTTACCGGGTAATCGGTCAAATAACAGTTGTCTGACCACTTGCCAATGACGGACGGCCCTCGGCTGGAATGGTAATACACACAAACTCAAAATTAATAATAATATAATAATATATTAATAATATAAGTAAAACGCCAGCCTGATAATTCGATTATTATTGTATGTTTAAAGATAATACATTTTTAATCACTTAATTAAACTTAAGTGTACAAATTTTTAAAATTAAATACACACCTATTTTATAACTATATACAAAATAGAATAACGGGTACGCGATGCATCACTCAATCAATAAAATTGCACCGCAGAGATAATAAAGTTATCACACATCAGTGGCGGTTATGCATGAGGGAGGGGGGGGGGGGGGGGTAAAAATAAAGCCTATCCTCCCACACTTCATAGCATTTTTATACATATATAATATACATACGGATTATCGGTAAGGTGACCATACGTCTCATTTGGAATGGGATAGTTAGTCCCGTTTTTTGTATATTTGTCCCGTTATCCCCCGAGGAAACTTTGGAAAACTATAAATTGTCCTGTTTTCATAAAGTAGTAAAAAAATTGAATTTATTGATGAATTATTGTTTTTATTATATTTTACTAATATGTGTGCATGCGACGTGTATACACTGTATTATTGCATGGTGGACGACGACAATTGACGCCGGCGAATGTCAGGGGATGTGTGTGGTGTATCGGGATGAATAACTACACTAATAAAATATATAAACACCGCAATATCAACGCAAACACAAAATTATTTTTCATAGTTCATTATTTCAGTGTTGACCATCGTAAATCGTTTACGTAGACGCTTTTCTTAAATATATGATGAAAAAAAATTGTTTATATTAAAATGAGTTACTTATTAAAATGTATAATTTATTTGTTTATTTTTTTTGTTTTTAAAATACTATAATAGTACTTAATTTTGTTTATAATTGTTAAATAAAAATATATATATATATTTGTAATTAAAATTATGAAGATATTTTTATTTTTTTATCCCTTTTTAACTATAAAAATATACGATCATCTTAATTATTGGTATAAATGTATAATAATATTTATATATTAATCGTATTAATACATTTTAACATTAATATATTAAAAAAAAAAAAAAGATATAAATGTATTGACTTATAAAATGTATCTTATAATAATTATATTGGTCGTGAGCGACCGAGACATAAAGTAAGATAATATACAATAAAAAAATACAAAAACAAAATTATATTATGCGTGGTTAAAAGTAAAAAATATTTTACTATTAAATCATAAATTTAAAAAAACCAAAACCCTCCTTATAACCGTCACTGTCACGCATAGTTATAATAATAATACGACACTACTGTATGCACAGTGTGGATGCTTACCGGAAACTGAACACCCTGCAGGTAAAATGTTTTACGTGAAGGCATATGAGTTCACACTCGTGCAAATTATCAGCTTGCACTGAAAATTTTACTATGGTCCTTTCCAACGTTAAACCACTCCGGATTCGTTCAAAGCAATCTGTAATTTGCACAACTCTATCAATTAACGTGTTTCATAATAATGAAGCGCGATCAAGTGGTCTGACTTCGACCACGTTAAACACGTCAAATTAATTTAAAATTAATAATGTTGAACATTATTCCTCTATTATAGATTATTTATTATAGATATATTAATATAATATTAATTATAGAGGGATCTCCCTACTCAATAATAGAGAAAGACTATGGAAAGTAATGGACTAATTTAGGATATCAAGAAAGATCATAAGAATTATTCAAACATGTGTGAATGGGTCGAAATTTAATGTTAAGTATGGAGGAGAGGAATCAGAAGAATTTGAGGTTAGAACAGGCTTAAGATAGGGAGACGCCTTATCCTTTTTTAGACGCTTTTAAGACGCCCTTTTTAATATAGCGCTGGAATCAGTAATGAGAAAAACTTTGGATGGAGCAACGGGAATCAAAATGGGAAATGACCAGCAACTGGTAGTGACAAGATACTCGATGTTATAATAATGGTGGGAAGCGAGGAAGACCTTAAAAAAACTACTAGTAAACTGATAGAAAATGGTGAAAAAATTGGATTAATGGTGAATGAGGGAAAAACAAAGTACATGATAATAACAAGACACTATCATGAAATAAGACATTTGAAAGTGAACTTTGAAAGGGTAGCAAACTTCAAATATTTAGGGATAAATATTAATGAGAATGCTGATAGTGACGAAGAAATAAGACTAAGACTGGTAGCGGTAAATAAATGCTACTTTGGATTAGTACCCCGACTCAAGTCAAAACTGCTATCGTGGAAAACGAAAATAACGTTAAACAAAGTTCTGATAAGACCAGTAGCACTATACGCCTGTGGCACATGGGCAACAACAAAGACGGATAAAAATAGACAAGCTACGTTTGAACGAAAGGTTCTTAGAAGCATATTTGGGCCAAAAAGGAACACTCTAGGGGACTTCAAATTAAGAACAAACCGAGAAGTAGAAGAACTATATGGTGAAACAAATATAATTGGAGTCCTTAATAGTAGTAGACTGAGATGGGCTGGACATATATGGAGGTTTGGAGGCCCTATAGGATTGGCCACAAGCTGGAAGCCGGTCACAAGAAGGCCAAGATGACGACCCAGACAGCGGTGAAAAGACAGGATTATAAAAAATGCATCGAAATTGGTAGTAAATGACGGAAAAGAACTAGCTGAAGATAAAGATAGGTGGAGGTAGTTGGTTGTTGCGGCAATGGTATAAACGGTCCGTAAAAGTCAGGAAAAGAAGAAGAAGAAGATTGTTGGACATAATTGAAAGTGAATCATTACTTTCTAGTACGAAATTCTACCGAACATGCACAATTAAAACATGACAAGTACCTAGTCGACATGTTAAATATTAATCGATAAGTAAGCATCATTCATGTTTTTAGTATTTTATGCCGTAAGTTTTAGCATGTAAACGTACGCGTAATAAATATTTCTCGATCATAGTGGTATAATATAATATTATCGTACATTATTAAATACCAATTAATTGTAATGACGTGAATAATTGTTGAAATTTTAATTTTAAAATCGATATTCAAAATCATCGTATATTAGTTTATCCTTACCAGTGTCCCAATTCCTGGCCGGCTGACATCCAGGTTGACTGAGTTCGTTTCTTACGAACACGTCACAATCTCTGTCAGGTACTAAATCTTGAAAAATGTCCAACTGACGGAGCATTTTATCACCCAAGTGGCAATTGTCCATAGAAGACGTATAGCTATATCTACGAAAGCACAAAAACGATATTATTTAATTTCAAAATGCTCGTCCACTTATTTCACTGTACCTGTAACTGAATATATTACAAGTAAATGTTTGTTCATTGGCACAAATGGTCTCACAACCGTATAGCGACTGGGCGTTCGTTGATTTAATAATATTTTCTCTCTGCAGATGATGTCCCGTTCTTGCTTTGATGAAACACTCTGAAAAAAAAATGGCCTCTTATAAATACGAATCGACTGACAGGGAAACAATGATTCGCAAATTAATAATATTATATTTTTCCTCATTGAAACCGATTTGCCAGTGCAAAATTAAATCTCTATTATTGTAAAGTTTGCGAAACATTTCAATTTATCAGTTAGAGAGAGATGTTGCGTATTAGCCAAAATCAGTCAATTAGAAGGATAAAATATACAATTGTTCTTTGAATGGTAAATTTCTAAACTTTTGTCACAAAGAAACTTCTGAAATTTGTGTATAGGTGAATAAAAGTTTCGCTATTACGTTATTAAGTTTCGTAGACACTTATTCATTTACCACGTTTTTGTGACTGGTCATATACGAGTATTATACTCCATAGAACGCATGTTGTTTATAATACGTGAAAATACAAACACCGAAAAAACTTAGAGAAGACGATTTGAAATTACTTTTGAACATTATTAGTATTTTTTCTTTTTTTTTCTTTTTTTTACTAACTTTTACTCAACAATACGTTACTTTTTTTGTATACCCAGCATTAACATGTTCTAGAAACAAGAAGATATATTCATTGCATTCGATTTTCTACAAATGTTATTACAATTTTTTTTTTAAAAATTAGTTCACATTCATTTTCATATAAAAATATAAACTAAATAAAATATAAAACTATATAAAATATAAAACTTATCTAGAAAATAATGGTTAGAAAGAAAATGCATACTATAGATATTACCTACTACTAGCATACGTACTATAAGAGATACACTTGTAAAGAAATTACCGATTAAAAAAAATTACCATATTATATCTTATAATAATTTTTGTTTGCATCAACTGGAGAGATTAAAAAAAAAAAATATGCAAAAAGTAATTGTTGGCTCGTCTTAAATATTAGTCAAATATTCTTGTACAGCAGCTATTTTCTTTTTGAAATCGCAAACGCTTGAAAACCATTATTTATATTAACAGTAAAGCATACTAACCATTTGGCGATAACGGTTGTCGATCTGGCACTGATAATGACGGTTGTATGCCGTTGTACAAGAGTTGAAAGTTATTGTACGGGTTATCGTTCGGTCTTGTTAACGACGCGCCGTCGTATTCAGGGACACCGGGCTTAGGTTGAAGACCGGTGTCGTAATACACTTTGTCGGCGCCGTATGCGATCTCATTTCTTTGATACCATAAAGGACCCAAATCCTGCCACAGATCTTCTTGGTTCCCGGCGATACCCCAATTACGTCTCTGCCCGTACGGGTTGGTCAGCTCCAAGTACCGACAGGTGGGCGAAGCGTTTACGTTTTTTTCAAAAAAGTCGTAGTCCAGGTCCGACTGGAAATCCAAAGACAAATCTAATTTCGCTGACGGTACAGAAGTTAATTGACAACTACTGTAAGAGTCTAATTTCATGTCGTATCTGTAAAATGAAATAGAAAAAAAAGTTTCACTTCAATACAAAATTATATTGATATACAGCAACAATCTAATATCGGAAAGAGCAAACAATACAAATTAAATAAACACACTACGATTATATAAACCGTACCAAAGTCAAACATTTTAATTCGTATCGTAATAACTCTTGGTTTAAGTGATTATTTTTCTTATCGATAATTTTTATCAATGATGTTCTTTTATCAGCAGCTATAAATTATTCGATTGCTCGTTCATCGAATAAATTATCCAAATGACAAGTAAAAAAACTTGTTGTTGTAATGTTTGAAAAAATAAACTTGATATAAATTTATTTCTATGAAAATACACAAACCTAAAATTAAATCCTTCGCAGCGAAATTCTTTTTCATATTCACAATATAGTTCACAATCTCCTTTTGATTCGACTGGTAAAATCCTTTGAATATATTTGTCAACTAAACGACGGCCTCCCACAAGTTTCATGAAACACACTATTCAAAAATAATATATTTTTTTACTCTCATAAATTCTTACATAAATAATTAAACACTTTTTCTTTGTAAATTTACAATTACATGTTCATACACGAATATAATATTGTTTTGATTCAGTAAAACACAATAAAAATATTTAACTTTAAAAGGCAAAATGTTTGGATCAATATAAATTTTCTTTTTTCACTTTTTAACTATTATTATTAGTTCTTATAATGAAAATATTGACTCATCTTTACAATATTTAATAAAAATATTAAAAATTTTCGCAAGAGATATTTTATCTAATGCTATGTTTGCTTTTTTTCTTTTTAGCATATACCTAGTTATTACACTCTTTGAACTTTTTGCTTCACCAAAGATATTTTTAATAATTTATTCCGGTAAAATCTATTCATTCAACTCAGAAGAAAGCGATAAAAGAAATTACAAAATTGTTAACTTCATTACGATTCAACTATATTTCTTAATTAAATTGTATTTAAATTTGATTTATACATTTTAAAACAGTTTAATTATTTGTACAATTCCTGGTAAAGAATCTATGTCTATAGTACATTATACGGAAAAAATAACAAATTTAATAATAATTAAAGTACTGACCTAAAACAAAAAAAAAAACAATAAACATATAAAACCAAGTATTTACAACCTCTAAAAATTAAATATTTTCTTAGTCCAAGTAGTTATTTTTGATTTAGTTAGACTGTAATTGTTAATGAATAAATATGTCTTTGGCGTAGACAATACGTTACCTGCTTATTTGTTTAATATGTTAGATATAATGCCAGGTAATACAAATAATAGATGTATCATCAAAAATTCAATTTTTTTTTAATTTAGTATAAAAATAGAATTTAATTTTATAAAACCATATTATTGTTCTAATTTTGAAAAATATTCTTACAATAATATTGTTTACTGCACGTACAATAGTAAATACCCAGTAGTGAGTACCTATTATTATTACAAATAATTATATTAATCGATACATTAATAAATAATAAACTATTTTATTACGTCATATCTATGTACGTGTAAAACGCTCTAAACTTAACTTAAAAGAAAATAATCAATATCACGTAATTCTTAGACTTAAAATCTTATTTTTTGGTTTTTCTCAGTTATAAGACTTACTTGTTCTATCTCTACACTGTAAGATTTTCATAAAAAGATCATAGTCCGGATCGTCGTAAAGTTCCGATTTCGGTAAATTTAATCCTAGCAAACAAGTGCCATTTCCGTTTCCACTTAACCTGAACAAGAGTTACATTATATTTTAATTTTGATATTGAAACCAAAAATAACGCGTTTTTAACTACTTACCCATAACTATATGCATTGCATACAATTCGTTCGCATTCATTACTGCATTGTTTTATATTTGTGGTATAAATGGTTTTTGTCACATCTGAACTATTTAAACGTTTTCCAATTGAAACTCTTTCGAAGCAATCTATCAACAAAAATCAATAATTATTGTGGTTTCGTACATCAACTTTACTAAATTAAATGCAATTTACATTCTAAATGAAGCAACTATCCATAGTATACCGATTCGTTTTTAAAACAAAGAAAACTATAAGTAGTAATACAAGTAATACTCGTTTATTATCGTCCAGTCGAGAAAAAGAAAAAAGGTAGTTTATGTACCCGTGAAATGGCATTAATAAATTATTACTCAATAAATCTCTATGAAACAAAGGGCATTTCTTCCAAAGTATGAGTAGGTACTTGTATTTATATGTACTTGTACCGTCTGAACAATTTAAAAAATACGAATAAAATTTTGATCAGATATTAAACAGCAATTACATAAATATATACTGTATAAATACATTTTATTTTGCATAGGTATCACATTAAATATCAATCCCAACAGACAACTTCCGTTAATCATTAAAAAAATCGTCATTTAAATAAAAACTATTTTAAATTCCGAGGAAAACGAAAAATGTAATGTTTTAACCATACAGTGTATTTATTTATTATTTTTTTGAAGTCCATACGATCTTGACAAGAAGGATTGCTCCGATCATCAATTGATTTTTTTTCTAATAGAAAATGTTATTTAGTTGGTGCATTCAGGAGGTATTTTCAATAGTTAGTTTCAGTTAGTTCGATTTTCCGAAATAATCGTGAAAAACTGATGAAAAATTAAAAAAAGAAAAAGGTAGTTTAATGGGTTGCCGGTTTTTGAAAAAATGTAATCATATATAATAATCCTGGAAACATTTTTTTTATTGGCCTTAGAATTTTAAATTTTGATAATTTCGTCCACTTATTTGCACTTAACAAATTTTATTTTGCAATATTTATTATTCTAAACATTCAACATTCATTTTTTTAATTTTTTTTTTTTATTATTCACAAGTTAATTTATGCATGTGATATTACTATTTTGAATGTTTTTAGATACGAAAGAATGTTGAATGATATTAATAACTAAACATTTTTTTTTTCGTAAAGAACGTTTGGTTTTTTAATAAAAAATAAAAAATAATAACAACGATAATAACTCTGCAGATCTTGCGGGGGACTCTATGACCGATACTTTAAAATCCGTTGCTTTCCTTTAACGACTCTCAACCGGAACAGACAATCGTACTTCAACGACATCAAGCAACGAATGGGTTTCACGTCGTACCGGCAACTAAAAAATACAGCACGTGATAGAAAATATTGGTTATTACGACAACAAGGCCTTGCCTTTAGAAACTGATGATGATGAGCCGGAACAGAGGGGGTGCAGCGAAATCGTTCTTTCTACATAAATTAAACGGTGAGAACGGCACGAGACGATACCGCGCCGGCACCGCTGTCAACGGTAAGAAATCGCCAGAGCGGGGAGGTTGGGGGCCGAGGGATACGATTGTACCGTTTTGTCGTAACACGTTAATCGTTTCGACGCGTGTCTGCGAACGTAATATGTGTTTCCCGGAGTGTCGATCAATCCGCCCGGCCGTTGCGCAACCACGAACGGTTTGTCCCGGAACTCGACGGAACGCTAATGTCCTCGCGCCGTAAACGTGCGCGTATTAGCCACACGCGTGCAAAACGTATCGCAAGTACTCAGCAGAGGCTAAAATGTACGATTTTTCGTACTCAAGGATTTTGTCACGCCCCCGTTTCAAACGTTAACGGTAACGAGTGACGCAGTTAGAACGGTTGGTATTTTAGACGACATCTTGGAATTCGAAAAACGTGTAAGATAATCGAATAAAAAAAAATAAAAAAAATATGTAAAATTAAAAACAAACGCCACGATACAGAGAACAGAACCGCAACACACTTTTTAATCTCGTATTGCACACGATGTGTCGTACTATTCGCGCGCAATTTCCAGTCCCTGGTTAACGTTGCACGTGCAATCCGATCGTTCGTTTTCACCGGCCGAACGATTTCGTTTTGCACCGCTCCGTGGCCGATCCGCAGAGGTTCTCGGCTGTGCCGACTGGTCGCGTGCGCAAGATATCCGGAAACGCAATTACCGCCCATTTACGCGCATCCGGAACGGTGTTCGTCGCCCGAACAGACGATATTACCGCGTGCGCGCGGCTCTCGTCGACTGCGATCGCTAATCGGCCGATTGCATCTGGACAGTTCGCTGAACGGACACGAATTACTACACGGAACTATTTCATCTCGGCGCACTGCTGCGGTGCACATTTTTACGCAACACCACTGCTTGTGTGTACTGCTTCCGTTGCGTTTTAACAGTTAACGGTTTTCTTTTACCCGTTCGACGACGGTTCAATGCGAATCATCAAATCCACCCGCCAACACATTATCAGTTGTAATTCAAACGTTTCAGTTCCTCGTGCAATGGTTAACGTAAATGTAATCGTAAACGGCGGTGTGGGATCGTAAACAGACCGACTAGACCGACTAAACATTAACACGCGACAGTTGTCGTTCGATTATTTCTTACATCTTATTTTAACATGAATAATCATCGTTAGTATATTATTACGAAATCAACGTCACGTGAAATTATATAATCTGTATAATCTACTAATTTTCAATGGTAAATTTAGTTTTAACTCTTAGTGCATTGCAATTAATACAGTTTGTACGTAAATAAACGTAACGGTTTCTTTATTTCATAACACGTATCATATCTGGAAAACGGAATGAAATAGAAAACACAACTGATGTGAGATTGATCGGTACATGTACGCACGACGACAATGAATACAACATTGCTCTTCACGAAGTATCTTCATGATTTTATAATTTACAAAATAATCAGAATTTCTTGATTCCGGTATTGGGAGAAAAAATAAAACATAGTATAGATACAGAAAAAAAAAAAGAAAAAATAACATATAGGAGGGCCAATCGGAGGGCCACCAGTCTCCTTGGTCTCGTCCGATTACTACACTGCTGTACAACATATAGTAAGAATTACAAAAGCGATTCTTATTCCTCGCACGCTTGTCTTACGTTACAAACAGTTAAATCTACAAGAATGGGACATTCGTCAAGGTGTTTATTGATGTTTGTTGTTATAATAAAACAGTTACAAGGTGGCTCGCGGCAAGGTTATGCAGAATGTCATCCGTAAACGCACACGTTGCTAACGTGTAAAAGAAATCATATACATATAGTAATACCGATGTATTACAAAAACGAACATTTTATTTAATTTTCCGGTAATATCAACTGGCAAGAACAAAGAATAGGCACTAAAGCGTGAAATAATCGTAGGAATAATTGTTTTTGTAATTCACTTTTCATTGATTTTTCTTTTTTTCTTTTAATTGACTGGCTGTATCGTGTGTGAGCGGCTATTTATTTCTTTCACTTTTAACACAAAAGCCTATGTTAGCTGTACTTTTCATCAACATTGAGGTGATAGTAATTAAATTATTACTATTTCATAACAAATATATTTACTGGAAACAATTTTTAAGAGAAATTATTTATATTTAAGACTTTAAATAATTTAAAAAAATTGATTTTAAATATCTGTTGGCAAATTTGTAATTTTATTTTATTCATTGAAAATTATATTTGTCAGCACTATATTCGTGTTATTATACCATATAGGTACCATGGTATAAATATATTATAAAGGAAACTAACATTTTTTAGACAAATGCATATAATATGCAATATTTAGAATAATGATACAAGATGTATAATAGATGATTATGTATCATTTATCCATCAGCTGATAAATTATGTAAAAGTAATAGGTATTTTTATTTCTTTATTGTCCAAAATAGAGCCTGATAGAATTTTATCACCAAAATAATATTATGTATTACAATTTAACATTCATTATTATAGTACAGTAATTGGCATATTGATGTGTTTAAAAGTGTTGGAACTACAGCTTGTCTAGGCCCATAATCAATTTGTCTGTACAGAATATGGTAATAAAGTTCTGGATACTCATCTGAGTGTGCAATTTTATAATATAATCGACAATTTGAAATTTTAGTAAAAAAATAACTAACAAAATATTTGTCACGCACTAATTTAAAACTTTTTAAAAAAAGTAAACTAAAAATATGATTTCCAGCCACTCGATAATTATTTTATTAATAATTTCAATAGAGTGACTTATATAGTTTCATTAATACAAAAAGTTATTGTTACTCTATAAGTACTCATAAATTACGTAAAATCCAATTACATTTCAAATTAACATTGATGTATTGGTTGCTGTTGTTATATTAAAACTGTTATTAAAACAACTATACTGCCACTATAGTTTTTTGGGAACTGAATTACTTGTAGGTTCCAGGTAAATATTAGATATATTTTTATGTGTTTAAACAAATAACTTTGAGTAAAATAACTGATCGTATGAATATTCGAAAATTGTAATAAGTAAGTATTGTTGTTTCGATATTTTTCGGGTGGAAAATTTTATGCTTTTCTTTTTTTTTTTTACATTATTATAAAATATTCAAAACGTTGTGGAAAAATTAAATCGTTTGAAAGAACCAAATATAAAAAACTATATTCAATAATGAATGACCGTGCGTTCAATATCAATGCAATCATGGAATCACTTCAAATGCGTAAAATCTAATTTTCAAGTACGCATCAAACTTTCCCGACTGTGTATAACTCGGTACTATAAATCATAATTTAAGGTAAACCATTTAAACTTTCATAAAATTAAAACCCATACTTCCGACGGAAATGGGAGGTCGTTGCTTTGTGCAAGGGTAACAAAATTTATTTGTCTCACGGGCACCGATCATGTAAATCGCTGTTCCATTTCACCCCAAAATATAAAACTACAACGAATTACGGTACAAGGCAATAATTTTTTATATTAATTAGTCTATACTTTATAATGTGAAAGCTGATAATAAAGGTAGTTCCGGCTGTTTTGAATGATATATTTTTATTAAAATTGAAGTATCAAATAATTTGTACAGGCTTACATTACCCAAAGACAAAAAATAAATAAAATAATAATATTCATTAACATTC